TGCACCTCTGCCTACTCCTTCGGGGATAAAATGCGTGATCTTATGTTGTTTCTTGAGGTCAGTTAAGAAGGCTTGAGAATCTTACCTATGTTTGTGGATGGCTGTTTATTGCTATTGGGTACTGCTTTATATTCCGTAGACACTTCTTTTCTTGAATTTACAATCGGTATAGGACATGGACCATTAGATAAAAATCTTTTAATGTTACCATTTACTTGAAATTTTCTACAACTGTAACATGTGTGGCACAAAGATCTTTACACCTACAAAACATAATTTGAACACAAACATATATAATATATTCAACCCATTTTACAAGCAAACAACAGCAGACCACGTGCGTCCAGGTAATCACATGACACTCACTAATGCGTTTTTATAAATAGCTACAAATATTTAGAGTATGCGAGAAACTGCATTGTGGGAGCCGTGTCTCCTGTGAATCATTTACATTGCATTATTTGTACACTGTGACCGAAATACTAGGGTTATTTATAGAGAAAAGTTAAAGTTTTGTTTGTTGTGTTGTTGTCTGTAAAAGTATTCAGTTTGATTTTAAGATTCGCAAGTCTGTTAAAGGTTTTGAATTTGATGTTAGGATATATTTCAAAAGGCAATGTATTAAATGGACCTGTCGATACAATGTTGTCGGTTTTAAATTTTGGAGCCTTAATTCAAGTCTTACAAAAAAAAATTCGTTTCTTTAGGAGATTAGATTGTTGGGGATTCAGGGATTGGGGAGAGGGGGAGTTATTTGGGCCTTAACGTTAACGTCACTCACACAACGTAAGCGTTGTTTCACGTCGGTTTTCTGTGACGTCGTGGTATCACTCCGGTATACACATGTATCAAAAACCGATAGAAACCATTTAAAAAACATGGAAATTACAACATTGCTAGCGAAAAGTAAGTGTTACATAGTTCTACTAGTTCGATGTATACCTCTATAATGTGTAAAGTTATGTTATTTATAGCTCTAAGTAATAAAAGGTAACAGATACGATCCCACCTCTATTAACCTGCTTCTATTTTTGATTTTGGAAGTAAAAAATGTTATGTGTGCCAGTTATTTCTGTACACTTGATTGTTGCAACAAAATTCTTTGTATTCTTTCAGAGTATACTAAGTTTGTAACAGTGTAGCACATAACTTCAAGCCTTTAAGAAATTGATACAATAGATTAGTTTTATGTTGTTGTTTCTGAAGTATTTGTTAATATTATTAATGTTAAATTGTTAGAGTTAAAGTGTGGGAGAGCCATGCTTCGGCACGAATAGGTCGGCTCGACCGGAGTGATACCGGAGTGAAACAACGCTTGCGTTGTGTTTCGTCGTGTGAGTGAGGTTACATACCTGAGGTCAAATTACCGCTCCCTAATCTCCCCAATCCCTGTATCGCCAACAAGACTCAAATTCCTTATTCTCAAAAGGCTGGTAATGCCTCTAGTATTTCAGGTGTCCATGGGCGACGCTGATTGCTTACCATCGCAACTCATTTACCGGCTTATACCATAAAAAAAAGCAATTGTTTTTACCATTTTTTACTGTAGCCCATATTTGTTTGCGCTGTCAAGCGGAAAGAGAACAATTAAGTATTCAAGTTTAGGATTGAGTTACTTTGGAATATATTAGGCACTAGCTTCTGCCCGCGACTTCGTACGCGCAATCCCATTTCTCCCATGAAGATAACAAACACAACGAAAAATTATCTGCCAAATCGGTCTAGCCGTCCTCTAGTTATGGCGTGACAACGGGAAACGGGTTTCATTTTTATATATATAGATTTACGCATATTTTATTTAGAAACCTCAAAATTCCTTTTTACCTTGGTCAACTGTAGGATAATGCGTAGATTGTACTGACACATTCATATTTGTGTTATTGTCGGAATCTTGGAGTGGTTTGTGATTTGTCCACGCTGCGTGGTTTGTCAACATGTTTTGATAGTTAACTACTATTAATAACTAATTTAAATATTACCTGTAACAACGTTAATCTTGGTTCTACTTTAGTTCCGACTTTTAGAATAGAAGGATAAGGTTGAGTAACAAGATTTTTTTTCTATAGGTAATCCTTCTATATTCCTATTGGCAACTTCACAAAACCTGTATGGCTTATACTGAGTGGGTGACCCTTTTAGCATAGGGATGTTTTCTAATTCTTCTGTTTGAATTTTTCAACTCTTATATTTTTGTTACTTCCACTGTCACATCTTGATTGTCTTTTTTTATTTTTTATTTTATGCTGCATCGTGCCTAGTGCTAAATAAATGTTTTTTCTTTCTTTCTTACTTTACATACACAATGACACCCAGACCCGAAAGAGCTTTCTTAGATAATTCAAATCCAATTGCTTCCTTAGATATTTGTCTCTTCTCATATCAATTATCAAGAACGATTCAAGATTTCCCTTTATCCATCACAAGCTCCACTTTTAAACTGCAATAACCCTGTAATATTTTAGACTAGACTATAAAGAATGTGTTAAGACCTCCTTATTCTTGTTTCTTACATAACATCCTAGAATGATGAGGTATTGGCATAGCATGAGGGCTGTGACCTGCATTTCTATCAAAACAAGTGTCGTGTTCCCGAGTCGCGTTACTTGTTTGTTACACAGCTCTAGTCTCTGGGTATTTTGGGACGGACACACATGTCTGATGAGTAAGACCCTGCAGTTATTATGTGGCTATTTGAATATTTGTGAGGTTAAGAATGTGCAGTAGACATTGCAAGTATGTTGGTTCATAATTATTGTTGATTTCCATTTATACACGTGTGCACGTGGTCTAATTTTTGTTGAGTGAAAGGTAGAGTAATGAATTTTTAAGTTTTTAACATTTTATACCAAAATAAAGTATATTTTTAATAATGTAATGTTCAACCAACGAGCAGTCTTGTAGACTGCTCGTTAGCCGAGTGGTCGCATGTGCGGCAAGGGGTCTCGGGTTCGATTCCCGGGTCGGGCAAAGTACTACTGGGTATTTTATAAATTCTCAGTAGTAGCACGGTGTCTGGAATTGTGCAAGGTATGTGACAATAGGCTCACCCCCTATTACATGGGACTCATAACATAAATAGTGAAAAATGGGTATTACATTGTACAGTGGCATTAAGTACCATAATATGCACTTCTGCCTACCCCTTCGGGGATAAAAGGCTTAGTGTTATCTTTAAAAAAATTAACTTAATTACTAGGTTCAAAATAAGTCTATTTCTTATTATTTATAATCTTTAGTCAAAGCGCGAAAATTTTTATTCATGTATTCTTAACATAGATAAATAAGAGCTTTTACTAGACCAAAATGTACAGACAATTTTCATTTATTACAAAATACACAGGAACATACATACATTACGTGATTATCATTTGTTTTAATAAGATAATAGATGGGTCGCATAGTTCCACAGCTATACGTCGTTGGTGTCCCGAATTATTTTGGTCTTGGCGTCCGTCTGTACGTTGTAATTATAGACGGATATTTATAGACTATAATCAGCTGATTACTTTCACGTCAATGTTAATAAAAACATCTGTAACATGACAGGAGTGTAGACTAGTGCCGTCTCGCTCTGTCTGTGTATTTGGACTTAATAAACAAAGTTCAGGGAATACGGTACTTGACAGGTAGTCTTCAAAATTGTCGGGGAGAACCTAACGGGTAACCGGGGATCTGGCTCGACGTGCAGTAGAAGGAACGGGGGTGGTTTTTAGTCAGTAAGAGTCTGACACTCCCTTCCGCCTCACCCAGGCGGGAGCAGTCATACGATGATTATCGCCCCTTAAAAAGAAAAAGTCTTCAAAATTCAATACTTTTATTGAAATGTCAAGAAAGATACTTTTCCATGAATTCTGTATTGGATCGCAACTTATGACGTCATCATATTTCTGCGTCAAATAGCATACTTATTTCCTTAAAGTTAGCGAGAACAAATCCAATAGTAGGTAAATTGTCAAATCAATGGATGAGAGTATGATTATTTTTTAATTATTTATTGCATTGAAAAGTCGAAACAATTTATTTTAAACCTAGGAAACTAGCCAATTGTATATTGAGTATTACTTAGGTGACGTTGTGATTGTTATTTTTAACCGACATCAAAAAAAGGAGGTTATTTATTTGACCTGTATGTATGTATGTGCGATATCTCTAGATTAGCTGAAGCATCTTTGATACGTATTGTAACTTTCGTGAGACATACTAAATAAATTATTATGTTTTCGCCTTACTCACGTAATAATTTAACGAGAAACTCGACTAGTTCTAGACTAGAATCAGTAGCAGCGCGACAGTCGCCGCGTCGCGGGTCGCGAAATGCTGCTCATGAATATGATCCTCTAGCTTGGCTTGAAACTAGTCGAGTTCCTCGTCAAATTATTACGTGAGTAAGCCGAAAACATAATAATTCATCTTTGATATGGTTTTCAGAAACGGTTTCAGAAAAGGTTTTAGTAATGTAATCGACTTCAAATAAAGAGGGATTGAAGTCTTACGTCATAGGTCCGATTTTTCAATCATCAGTTAATTCTTAACTGTAGAATAAAATTGACAGTTAACAGTTTTTATAATGGAAGAATTGTCAAATACTCAAAGTTATTCTTCAGTTAATTTTTTTCTGTCGTTGGAATAATCGATCTTTAGCATCGTAAATGTAGTATGGAGTTTGAGGATCGATGGGGATTCAGGGATTGTGGAGATTGGGGAAGGGGAGGGTAATTGGGCCTCCGGTAACCTCACTCACACGACGAAACACAACGCAAGCGTTGCTTCACGTCGGTTTTCTGTGAGGCCGTGGTATCACTCCTGTCGAGCCGGCCCATTCGTGCCGAAGCATGGCTCTGCCACACTTAGAAATTATTAGTTTATGAAAATAAGCAAGTGAATGCTTTAAAATATTCCTAAATATAATTCTATTCACTGGTTTCATGTACAAAAGGTGGTCTTATATTTTTAAAACTAATTTCCTACACATAATAAACTGTATCTTCTCTATTCTCCAGAGAATGCGGTGGCTGCGACGAAGCCGAAGCGTCGAGCCTACCTCCTGAAGCGGAAGGCTCTCACCACAGGCTTCTTCGACCAGAGCCGCACCAAGGACGCCGACAAGGATAAGGGTTAGTTACAATCTAGAGTACTATGATGATAAACTTAACAGTGAGCAATCGTTATTAAGCGTTTAAACTTTAAATTAAAAAAAAAATATCCTATCGTTTGATATTATTATCATGATATTTAAAACATCATCATTAATTTTATTAAGTAGTATATAAAATATACCACATTCTTATCTAATAAGTATTAAAAACTACAAAATAACAAACACAAGAGCGTAGCCAATAATTAAAAATGTATTAAAATTTTAAATTATACGACACTATTTCGCCAAAGTTAACCTCTTTTAAATTGTTAAAGTTAACATATTTTGTTAAAAGTTCATGCTAACTGCTACGTTGCTACGTCACCGAACTCCGAAGTCCGAACTTGAATGTAGCCCACTCTCGTAGGCATTCCGTAGCCGCCTACGCCGTAGCACGTGGCGTAGACAGGTAAACTATGCGTCATGTTTCTATGACAATATGTGGTTAAATGTAAAATTGTTTGTTGTCAATATTTACTTAAAACATGACATTATATTCTAGAACTTTAATAATAAATCGTTTAAATATGTTTAAATTAATTTAGAAGTTTCGTAAACTTCTTTTGTTTAATAATAATTGCGGTAAGTATAGAAATATACACGGTCTGATGTTTTCCTTACGGTATAAGGTAACCAATGTGCAAACCATCATCATCATCATCATATCAGCCAGAGGACGGCCACTGCTGAATATTATTATAGGCCTTATATTATTATACTCTCCTATAGTTAAAAGTTAATAAAACAATTCTATTTCAGTACATACCTTTGATCTGAAATTCCTGAAACAATGTAAATCCGTACATAAATACCTGTTCAGGTTATATAGTTATTTAATTGAGATCTAAACCAGATTATCGTAAAACTGGTTTGATCTCAGTTCCACTGAAATTTATAGTTTTACAGTTCATTATTAACTTGTAAAGAATTTCTTTTGTTCTATACTTTTATTGGTTTGCAAAGATATATAGATTTCGCTAAAAGTAAATAGTCCTTGATACAGTTTTTAAGATAGATGCTACCTATCCCACTAACTTCGTGTATACCTTATTCAAATACCTCCATTTCTATAAAAATCTCTTTTTTTTTTCGAGGACACTTTTAATATTTATATTCACTTCAGTCCTTCAAGTGAAAAAAAAAATGAGTATATATGAGTCTATCAACTTTTTCTCATTTGCATAGTAAATTTTTACCATTTATTAAAAACGAATATAATTTAAATTAATCTAAAATCGCGGGTTACTCACGTAAATATACTGAGAAAAGCTCTACTAGTTTCGAACCAAAGCGGGGTTCTTCCTCATGAACAGTGTGCGCGGTCGTGGCGATGTCGCGCAGCCTACTATATAATTTAACTAGCTTCTGCCCACGACTTCGTACGCGCAATCCCATTTTCCCCCGTTCCCGTTCGTGATTTTCGGTGAAAAGTAAAAAAAAAGTATTGTATAAAAAGTATCCTATGCTCGTCTCCTGGTTCTAAGCTACCTCCCTGCCAATTTTCATCTAAATCGATTGAGGCGTTGTTGAGTTATAAATAGTGTAACTAACACGACTTTCTTTTATATGTATATATAGATTTAAATTTCTTTTAAAAGGTCTTAATTTTTTCAGTAAAATTTACATGGACTTAAAATATAGACATGAACTAATTCCTATTACAAAGGGACTCATTACGTCATGAGTGACGTCATAACTACGTTGATCTCTTCAACAAAATAACCAACCAGACATAATGCTACATTTATTCAATTTGCAAATTCTTCTAGTGTTAACAAAACACTTGGAATTCGACGGCTCTCGTTTGGGAACGTTTCAAAGAAACGTGTAATCTCCAAATATTTATGATACCGACTGGTCACTGTTTATCCAGAGCCGTTTATTGCGCGAACGAGTCCGAAACGTTTGGTAGCAAAAGAAGGTGTTTCTATGTTCTCTTGTGCTTGTTATAAAGTGATATAATAGTGTGGATATAATCTGTAGGTACTTACAATTACTTAAAAACAAATTCCGCGCGGTTTCACACGCTTTTCTCAGCTCCTATTGGTCGTATCGTAGCGTGATGTTTTATAGCCTATATCCATCCTCGATGAATGCGCTATCCGACACAAAAATAATTATTCAAATCAGACTTGTAGTTACGGAGATTAGCGCGTTCAAACAAACAAACAAAAAAACAAACTCTTCAGCTTTATAGTATTAGTATATTATATTAATTTAGGATGAAAAGTAAACTTAGCTTTATTACAGACTATAATCTACTTCTGTACCATATTTTATTCAGGTGCCTTTACAAAAAACTTTATATAACATAACATCACGACTTTTATCACCGAAGGGGTAGGGAGGGGTGCACAGTACGGCACTTAATGCCACTGTACAATGTAACACCCACTTTTCTCTATTTATGTTATGAGTCCCATGTAACAGGGATGAGCTTATTGCCATATACCGGGCACAATTCCAGACTCCGTGCTACTACTAAGATTTTTTTTGAAACTCAGTAATACTTAGCGTGACCTGGGAATCGAAACCGAGACCCCTAACCCGGCAGTCGCACTTGCGACCACTCGGCCAATGAGGCGATCTTAATATAATTTACCTACAATTTTTTTTATTATTTCTATTTATGTATTTTGGGGTTTTTTTTTAAACGCCAACCCCTTACCTACAATTGCATTCTACTATTTGAACCATACCTAAACACACGACATCAAATAACATTACAACATTTTTATATAACACTGATAACACAAATCAATAACACAACTGGGCTAGACTGTATGATATATTATTATGAGGCTAGACATTGCCCAGCATTGCTATTGTTTACCTAGAGTGTCACGACACGCGCCAACTGAATCTATCTTAAAAGTCATAGAGGGTAAATGTGTCGTACATTCATTGCAAGGCTTCTGTAGAACTTTCAAGTGTAGGAGAGCCATGCTTCGGCACAAATACGCCGGCTCGACCGGAGTGATACCACGGCTTTACAGTAAACCGAAGTGAAACAACGCTTGCGTTGTGTTTCGTCGTGTGAGTGAGGTTACCCAATATTTACTTTCTACTTTCTGTTACTAATCATGAAAACCAGTATTTGGCTTCTTGTTGCATACCACATTCTATTTAATCAAATTGTATAGCCGTTGGTTTTCCAAATGTATAAATAAAAAAAATAAAAAAAATATGCTCAATCCTCGAATCCCCAACAATCCTCAAGTTCCTAATCCCCAAAAAGTCGGTAAACGAACTTGTAACGCCTCTGGTGTTTCAGGTTGTTATTAGGTGACCGGCTTATGCCATAAAAAACACGATTTCGTTTACTGTTTAAACTTTCTTATACATAACGTATAAATCTATAGGTAACATAAACTTTAATTAATACTAAACAGTCACAATATTGAATAGAAACATAATAAACACACACACTCAAACAGAATTATTACACGACCGAAGAATAATTTACTACATTCAAATACAGCAAACACAATACAAAACCGGTAATCGTTGAAAAAACACAATTAACCTATTTAATTTGATCTATTAGACTATAAAATGAACCCTAAAACGAGTAATTTAGATAGTTTTTTAAATAAAAAACGTTCTTTAATACTTGTGGGATGCGGGGGCTAGAGTAGAGGTATTCGAACAATCTGAGATCGTGCCAAGATCGGGTGAGACTAAATCTCACGTATACACACTGTTACTACCAATACTTCACTATCAAACTACTATCAGTACACTTTACGATTATTAATGTCGTATTTTGTAATAGTGCCCGGTATATGGCAATAGGCTCACCCCCTATTACATGGGACTCATAACATAAATAGTGAAAAGTGGGTGTTACATTGTACAGTGGTATAATGTGCACCTCTGCCTACCCCTTCGAGGATAAAAGGCATGATGTTATGATGATGATGATGATTTTGTAATAAGTCAAAATAAGATGGGCCTGTCCTGTAATAAAAACTATGTAAGTAGTTAGTATACCGCATATCGTTACGTAGGGTTCAGTAATACATATACATAAAAATAATTTTAATTTGACACATATAACCAATTTTTCTACATACTCATTAAATATTCATATAATGACTGTCGCAAGTGCGACTGCCGGGCAAGGGGTCTCGGGTTCGGTTCCCGGGTCGGGCAAAGTACTACTGGGTTTTAAAAAAAATCTCAGTAGTAACACGGAGCCTGGAACTGTGCCCGGTATATGGCAATAGGCTCACCCCCTATTACATGGGACTCATAACATAAATAGTGAAAAGTGAGTGTTACATTGTACAGTGGCATAATGTGCACCTCTGCCTATCCCGTCTTGGGTAAAAGACGTAATGTTATGTTACTAATGAAATATGAGGTTAAAGAAACAGTTTTATAGCTTTGTTAGCATACAGTGTGAACAATCGTGTAAAATAAAATGTAAACGATAAGTTGACACACATTATTGTAGTTTTCATTTTTATAAGGTTTTAGTCCCTGATCATAACTAAACCCAGTCCCTAATTAAAATAATATGGTAAGTGATAGATTAACTTGTGAATAATGTTACACGACACATTTTAAATCTTTGACTTTTGATAGATAAGTTGAAGGCAAGTCTGCCTGTGACATTCTGTGTAAGAGTCTGACACTCCCTTCCGCCTCACCCAGGCGGGAGCAGTCATTCGATGATTTTCCCCCCTTAAAAAAAAAAAAAAAGTCTGCCTGTGACGACTATGTATGTAACGAATAGACACTTGAAGGGATAAATAACCATGAACATTGGAATTATAAACTCACATCTTGTTTCAATGCGATCGCTAAAAGGGCAAGCCAAATTGTACAGTCATTGTACTTTACCAGCTAATAGTCTTGTAATGACATGTTTTTAAACTTGTATCATATAGAAATACGTATTACTCATCAGATGATGAGTAATACGATAATTGTGTTTGCTAATAGATATTAGCAAAAACAATTATTGGGACT